TCTGATGATTGTTCAATGGAAGCCGATAGCCCATTGATATACCACCCAGGCTTCGTATGGAATGGCATGAAATTCTAGGAGGTGGCTCGACGGCACCATAGTCCGAAACCATTGCCACTCCGTTTCAAAGATGAGATTTACATCATATCTGTGTTTCAGACCACACGGAGGAGCGTTGGGAAACTCACCACTTTCAGGAGCATAAGATGTTGGGCGAAAATAAACAAAGGTACCGACGAAGATCTTGTTTACAGCGAAGGGTACGACACAGCCTCAGAGGGGTCTAGAACGAGACAGGAGTGATCTTGGGCACAGCAGGAGAGCACCTGAAGTGATAATCACAGCAGCAATAATATGGAAGCTGATGATACAGTACAATAGTTCATTCTGTTTTCCGGGTTGTTAGAGCTAGACAGTACTAGCGCATCTCGCACCGCTCAGCCGCCTCTTTAGAGATGCCAGCACACACTCTGCGCTGCTATTTATCTTCAATCAGATGACGGTCACTACTGTACGTTGCCGACATTCGTCTTGGGTCTAGACCGACTAGTCTGCCTTGAAAACAATTCTCAAGACGTCAATTTGCGGAGGCTCAAAAATGGTCTGTTGTCGTAGCTTGTTAGTCAGTGTCAACGTAACATAACGTTTGATGATTGATCTGGTTATTCCCTATCACCTCATGAAACGATCACGAACATCGGCGTGACTTTATGGGTAACTGACTACTGATCTTAGAGCAATCGATACTTTTGACCTGTTATGTTACGACATCATCCCGTGCAGTTTGCGTTGGCCGACATAAGTATTTCACGTGGCCCATACACTTCATGATGTGTGGACACGCCTCGTACCTATGAGAAGTCTTACTTGACTTTGGACGCATTAATAAAACCTTGCGAGGCCAGGCCGTCGTGAGTTTATCCAGGTTGTAGCAATGTAAATCCCTTTCCGTGCGTAAAGTGGTGATTTCTCGTCGCCCTAATCTGATTGAAGTCCATCTCATAGTCAGCGGTTGAAAGTTTAAGTTGCCTTTTCGCCTCTCATAGGTAAACTCCTGAGTGTATCGACTGTTGGCTGGACGAATAGACTTTAGCTACGAGGACAAGGCGAGCACTCATGGTTCATGAGACAGTCGAAGCAGATCATCTAGGCCTTCAAGGCTGAAGGCAATAATTGACGGGAAGGTTCAGCTGATCGTGCCAATACGTCTCGAACTCTGATTAACAACCAACGATGTTAGTAGCCAGGGGCGATTATAACGCCGAAGCCCACCTTACCAGAGTTGACGAACCGATACTCCAGCACAGCCTTACGCAATGTGTTCTACTTGACGGAGAGCTTGATTTAGGCAGGTGACCCTACTCTATCCCTGATCGTCGCGAATCAAGTAGCGCATTTGCTCGCAATCACAGCAAGGACTGATCATGGGTCGGCAACTTAGCGCAGGACTCCACATACACCGACCAGATTAATCGATGTGGTCGACCGAGCTAACTGAACCGGTATCCTTCTCATCCATTTTCGACACCGCCATACCTCCTGACTTTCCTTGTTTCATCACGGCAAGTGGACAAGCTGTGGAGTAGATTGAGGTTTTAGTCACAAGAACGGCTGATTCCTCATAGATGATGCCTAGAGCTAACGTTTGAGGACTTGGAATCAATGGCCGTGTCACACATGGCTCAGCACTAATGATGCAAGATGTGTTTTTCTCGACAACGCCTTGACACAGTTGATATTCTCATTGCCTCTAAAGTATGGCTGAATCAAGATTAGAGCTAACCAGCAGCTCCCGACTCAGACAGAACTTCATCTAATCGGAGACTACTTGCTGCTATTCTCAGGAGTCAGCCGACCAAATCAGCGGCCAAACTGACCATCGACGCTGAGCAAGCCATCGCCGGCAAATAGCAAACAGTGGCGAGCCAGAACAGATGACCTAACATCTATCAGTTCATTATTATCTAAGTTGGCTTCGCAAATATCGACTACCAACTCCCTCACTGCAGCTTCGTTATCATCGCCCATCTCAAGAAGCTGAATGAAGAAATATGGGGTTGGGTGGTTGACGCGTCACTTCAGTTCAGTAAGAATATCCATTTCTAACCGGATGAAGAATCTCTCGTCTCGATAATACCCTTCGGGAATGAATTGCATAAGCCGCTTGAGAGATGGCACCCGCCCCTTTTCTTCAATGTACTTGGACGCAATCCATAAGGCAGTACAGCCGATCAACTTGTAGTATGCCTCCCCACAGAAGCTTTGTTCACAGCAGAACCTGTCGACAATATTGACAGATAAAAACAGCGTTTCTGGAAGTAGGCCAAGCATAACATGAGCCACTTGGAGATGTCGGACGATGTCCGGTCTCATTTCGCTTATTCCATCCGGGAAGCGGCTCATGTCGGGCATCGTCTCGGCCTTGGTGTTTGTCAGTTTAGCGGAAGCGACCTGAGTGTC